TTGACCGATGGAGTCCCAACATGTATTCACGTCATGGCTTGCGTGAAGGGACGTGTGTTCGCAGAATAATGACTCTGGGCTCCAATCGAGGCAAATGCTTGTTTCTGCTAATTGATCCCGGCGAAGCAAGCGCAATACTCCATGTACTACTTCGCGAGCCAGGAAGTGGCGAAACGCTCTTTCGACATCGCTGGTATTTCGACGTCCTCTCTGAATAGATAGCAGAGAGCTTTGGTTTCTCACAGCCATCGGAGCGAAAACTGATGTTCCGAACACGGATGTCAGATCGATTGTCTGTCAGCGAACAGATCCAGAATTCATCCTCCGACAGCTCTTCAGCTCTCTTCGCAGAGCGCAGCCAATCCACGACGTTTGAAACGAGGTGACTTGTTCGTCTGAAGCAATGCCAGTAGAAATGAATTTGTTCTGTCACCAGGAGAAGGAATGCCGAAATATCGAGCAATATCCCTGGTCATACGGAGGCGACCACCGTCTTCCGCCCGCTAGTGGGAGAAGCCCATTCTGACTGGAATTGCTTCGGGAAGGGACGCCAGCCCGTTTGAAACTCCGTAGATTCAGGACCGTGAATGGGAGCACAGGAGACGAACATCTACGGAATCAAATTAGGTTGAATGGAATCATGAATTCCTCCTTCCCATTGTCATGTTTCGCTCTCTTTCCTCTCCGAAGAAATTTCCCTCCTCTTTGGTTTTCTGTGGACTCCGTCTCGGAATGGAAGCACTCATTGGATCGCCGTCCACGGTTTCTGGCTTGTGCATTTTCCCTGGAAGAGGAACGCCGTAGTAGCTCGACGAAGCTGGCTGTTGTGATTACTGAAATTATCTCCGCTCCCATCGAGTCTTCTCTGAAGGCCAACAGCGAATCCGAACGAACGACCAAGCGACCGACCGAGTGGTAAGAATAATCTTCGTATTTTATCTCCACAGAATTTTTTCCCTGTCCGTGCCGTCATCGCGAGCAGATTCAAGATTCATTTGCGTTTCGTATGTGTGGGCGGTGTGTGTGAGTTCCCTCGGCGCCGCCGCCGCCGGTGTCATCGTCATCATAGAAGAGCACGAGCTCCGTGGAACGACCTCCATACGCTCTGAACTCGTTACGAAAGTTCAACCCGCGAGCCCATCGACCGCAGGGTCCTTTCATTGAAAAGAAACAAAGTTGTTTTCGTATTTTTATTCAGAGCCACCGCCGGCCGCGTAGGCATTCTTCCGGTCTCTTATGCGATAACGGGAGGCTCGGCCCATTCCCGCTTTGACGGTTTCCGTGGTCCATGCGTACAGCGGTCATTGACCACGCACAGGACGGGCTTATTAACCATAATCGCATACGTGATTTCCCCCTCCGCACCCCGTCCCCGCAACAGCTGTCGACTTCCCGAATCCGAGAGACCAAACTCCAAATTCACATCACGGAACTGAGCTCGCGTCAACAGAAAGAAGAAATCGGACCGATCGCTTCCAGAGCCGATGAGAGCGAATCGCTTTCGCACAGGCTTTCAAGATTCCGTGACGACGTTGTGACAAGGAGTCATAATAGCAAAGAATCGAGTCGGACTTTTTCTTCCTCTCTCGAAGACTCCCCGACGCTCCCCCGTGAGTTTCTTCCGCAGCCGCTACTCGTCATGATGGGCGGGAGGGTGCCGCGGTCTGAACAATATACGCAAAACCCTACGACCTTTGTTCGTTGCCGCCGGTGCGGACGGACAGGCGGGCTGGCAGGCGGGCGGGCGGACGGGCCTGCGGACGTACGGACGAGCAGGCGGGCAGGCAGGCAGGCAAACAGTCAGGCTGGCTGGCCGGCTGGCGAACAGACGAGCAAGCGGATCTGGGGCTCTAACCCAAGGCCCTGGCGACTCACGCTGGTCGACGGTAACGCCCTCATGAAGGCTATGGTTTTACGTAAGAAACACGAGAGGGCGCTGGCAGCCAGTGCATCTCGGCGAAGTTAGACCGCATTGATCTGGCGAACACACGAGAGAAAGGAATAGAGTGTTGAGTGCGTGGCCGATTCCTGACCACACTAGCCTGTGATCGTCGCCCGTTTGAATATGGAGGGGCTCGTAGGGGCCGTCGGGGAACCCTACGGTATCCTCAGTAGTCCCTGAACGTAACCTACGAAGTGTGGATGGTTAAACCTTCGTTTTTCAAGTTCAAGTGCTGTTTGTGCGAGACGAGTGCCAATGAGCCGCAAGCCTTCGGTTGTATCAACGTCAACACGATGAACATACTGGGCTCGATTGTAAACCGATCTGGTTCTTCCTGAGAGATTCACCTTTCCGCTCCACAGTAGACAGTCAACCGATGCTCTTCGACTCAGGTACAGTCATGGACGAGGACAGGGGGGGGACTTCGACGATCACACTCGCTTAGCTGACACCTTTAGGTATTCCTCGCACGCGGTTCCCACTCGGGTGTCGCTCTCTCCATCGTTCCTACTCCCCGCGGGAAAACGTGATTGATGATTCGGAATGCTGTCAATGAACACGCAACACTCTTGTGCGCACTCACATGTGAATACGTGCTCCCGGAGTTTCCACACACGCACGTCGACGGTCCAGGAGAGAAAAACCCCATCCGGAAACGATGACAGGCGAAAATTGAGTTCTGTCCGTCGACGGATTTACGTACGACCGTGTGGCTTGCTCTGATCGTTCACGATTTCGGTGGGGCTATGCGGGCCTTGACCGCCTCGCTCGGAATAGGTACGGGTGTCCTTCTGTCGTCGGGCTCCTACCATCGACTACACCGTCCGATCCCTTGCTGCGTAATCGTCTCCTACTGGACCGATGTCCGTATGCTCGGTGGGTCGCTCATTCGTGTGTCTCATCCATTCTACAATTCCCGCGGTTGATTTTTCGCCCACCGATCTCCCGTCGCTCCCGGCCGTCCGTGCGTGAGGGAAGGCACTGCGGCATGCCATGTCCTTCGGCTATTCGACGTTCCCGGGGTTTCCGTTTTTCCCGGCGGACGGAAAGAGAAACGGGCTCCGCTCGTAACCCTCGGTCGCCCAATCATAATTGAGGTGGATCTACAGAAAACATCGGACAGAATCCGTCGCGGAAGTCGGCTCCTTAGAGATTCGAAACGAGATCAATAAAAACCGAGCGGCCTCGGATTTATGTGGCTTTATTATCTAGCTTCAATTAATGAATCGAGGACGAAACTGCGAAGCTAGAGTTTTGGACCAACACGGAAGAAGAGCCGAGTCTCGATCACGTTCAGGATTTCCGTGTGGCCACGTCGGAGCGCCGCCACTGCAGCAGTCGCAGCAGCAGCGGCGGCTGCCGCCGCCACCACCACCGATATCCCCCGGTCAACGTAGCCATTGAGTTCAGAGAGTGCTCGGAGGGCCCCATTGTTGTATAGGGCATAAAAGCGTTGGCAACTTCGTCACGAATGTCGTTCGACATTCACAAGGTCCCCGTGTTGATACTTACTCGAAAGAAAAACCCGCAGGGGCACGAGAGATTCAGCCGCACGCAATCGAGCTCTCCGAAGAAGACGAGAATTAGTCACGGGCGCGAGCCTCATACATTCGAGAGCGTTGATTGAGCGAAGCCAGGGACTCGTTCGGCTCGAACTAAACGAATCCCGATAAGTCTTCAAACATAATCCAAGACATTCTCTTCTCGCTCTCTCTCTTCGTCCTGCGAGCGGACATGCAAGCGAGAGAGAACGGGCTCCGAGCAGGTACGTTGACGGACCGACGAGCCGGCTGGCTGGCGGGCGGGCGTTTGTTCGCTCAGCCAGGTAGTACGTCCGCAGTCTGGGAGCCTCGAGGCTTCAAGCGCGGGCTCAAACTGTGGATAGAATCAATACGTTCCAGTTGCTCACCGGTACGATTGCTTCGCTCCTTTAGTGGCGCCCCGTGGCAGCAAGGCAATGTTTTCACGTAGAGAGACTTTTGTCAGATATGTCGTCTTTCCGGACGACGGCAGCGAAGCTTCCGCGCGATGGAAACAAGCTCGAACGAGGTCGGGTAGGGAATTCCCTATCGGGGAACAGAAAGTCGTCCCCCGAGAACGGTTCAGTGACCATCCAACGCGGCTTTCGAGGGACTGTGCTCCTTTGAGCAGCTTGTGGAAACGCAAAAAGATTCCCACAATGAAATGAACGCAACGGCACTGCAAGGAACGCGAGAGGGGAACAAAACGCTCTGATCGAAAAGCTCTAGCCAGCCAGACAGCCAGCCAACTCGCCCGCTTGCTCGCCCTGCTGCGTGCCCGGCGTCCTTCCTGTGGGACGGAATACGGCTCGCTTGCTTGCTTGCTTGCTTGCCTGCCTGTCTGTCTAGCTGCTGTGTTCGCTTGCCTGCTCCCGGATAGCCCAAACGGAGTCGGTCCCGAAAGCAAAGGAGACTCATATCTAAGTCATCCATCTATTGTTAGCACCTCTCTTTCGCCTTCTTCCGGGAAGACCTTTTTACAAGGGATGATTTCATTCGTAAGCCACGACGGCTCTGCCCAGAGCCATGACGAGAAATGTAATGTGTCGGTGGTTGAGGTCGTCCGATGCTCCAGCGTTCGCGACGTCCACCGTGTATCTGAGGAATTTTTGACAGATCAGTACATGTCGTGGTTATCGCTAGATGATGGGCGGCACGGACCGTCGGAAGGCTGTAATCTCTTCATGGCATACGATGGCCGCCTCGAGTCCAGAGAGCGTGAGTGAGAGCGAGAGAGAGAGATCAAAGGGTGGAGAGGGCGAGAGAGTGAGCCAGGAAGCCCAATCCATTCCGAGGACCAGCCGGTGTGCTCAGGACAAGGGCTTTAATATATTTTCTCAGGATGCCTTCTCTTATTGTTTCAGATCGTCAATCATCTGCCACTGGAATCGGCATCGCATCAGGCGTAGTGAACTCGATCTGCACTCACAAACAAGGCAAACGATTAGGAAATATATCGCCAAAGGATGTCCATCCATAAACCCGGAACGCAAGAAATTGCCAGTTTTTAAATTCGGTCCCTCATGGGAGGCCGGCTTATGCCTACCGCCAGAGGCGGTATCCGCTACGTCATGCGCAAGCGGTGTCGTAGTCCACTCGTCTATCTGGTGACTACCTTCTTCGTGGCTTGTCTATATTCAGCGTTCAACTCGCATATTACGTGGCCTCTGGGCCATTCTTGTGCTAGTCATGCAGAAGAGGCCTTCCATTCACGCAGTTTGCTGCAGTACTCTGCGACGACGACAACCGCACCTAACAACGCAACTCGCGGTAAGAGCACCGAAACGCGTCGATTACCTGATTGTATCGTCGGATCGTACGATTTGGCTCTCTGTTCCCATCAACGCCCTCTAATCACACCGGCTCGAGGGAAACCAGGTCGGGGCGCGCGTTTTCCTCTGCGCGAAAATCGCCTCGGTCGGCAGTCGACCTTCTCAAACGCTCTAATCCATTATGATGGCTTCCGACGATCCTCGTCATACGACACCGAAACACAAATCATAGCGGCCATGCTCCGGGGGACACTCGAGCTGCGAACATTTAAATCGACGCTTTGCGAATTCAGACAGCTCCTCATGTGAGAAGGGAACTCTGCCACGCTCAGGGCTGCTCTCCGAAAAATAGGAACTCCACGTCTCGGGATAACCAGGACTTCTCTCAGCACCCGAAGGGTTGCGGAAAACCGAGCGACAGCGAGTGACATCTATCGGTGTCCAAATGGAGAGACTCCAATTACGTGGTTATTTCGAGCAAAGGAGACGCTCCGCCCCCTCCCGTTCGTTTCTCAAGTTTCCGCACCTAATCAAACCGAACAGCGACACTCGAGTTCGACTGAGGATAGTTTCTGTCAGGCACACGGTGTGCTGAAACTCCTTGTTATTAGAGCTTGCGTGACCGACGGAGTGCGTTTGTTTCCACGGAACGTCGCCTACGGCTGCACCGCAGACGATACCACGTCGATGCGCGCATAACAACCGGAGGACGACTATTCGTTGCCCTTCGCAGTGTCTGCCCCTGGAGCCCGACGACCGGAATCGGCGCCCGCGATTGATTCCGAGGAACCCCTCCCGGAACTCCCTCGGGCTGGCCGGCCGGCTCCGATAGAGGAACAAAAGAGGAAATAGCGAACGCGGAATCGAGAGAGATGAGAATCTTGTCCTCAAAAATAATTCGAGTCTTCGACTTACGTTTATTGGAGTCGGGAAAATTATTCGCCTCTGAGACTTTTTCCGCGTGACTTACCCAAGTTTCAATTAGCGAAATTGCGAGACCAATCTCATGTATTGCGCCCACAATCGATACAGGCGAGTCCCTCTCACCGAAAAACCCCGGCCACGAACACTCGAACAGACCGCAGAGACTCCGTACGAAACACGGAAGTCAAACAAGGCTCTAGGCACGTCAGCGGATAAGTCGCGCTGTAGGGAACTCGCTCTGAGACCAAGCTTCGAATCTGTCTGACGGTGTTTTGTTTCTCTTTTCAAGTTATCATAGAACACGCTAGCGGCTCCGCCCAATTCCCGAAAGATTTGTTCACAGTACAGCAGCGCCGGCAGGGTGCCGTGATTTTACACGTCACGGGCCTTGTGTACATGTTCGTGGCGCTCGCTATAGTATGTGATGAATTCTTCATTCCGGCGCTTGATGTAATCACAGAAAAACTAGGAATCTCAGAGGATGTCGCCGGTGCCACCTTCATGGCAGCCGGAGGTTCAGCACCTGAACTTTTCACCAGTGTTATCGGAGTGTTCATCTCGTTCGATGATGTCGGTAAGTTTATCCGTAGAAGCGAAAAGATGCTGAGATGAGATAGGAGCGGTTACGGATTTCGATCGGAGGCAAGACACCGAAGCGATCGCCTCCGTCATCGGAGAAAAGAGACTCCGAGACATCAAGATCTAAATACGAATTCTCTTTCGCAGGGATCGGCACCATCGTGGGGTCCGCCGTGTTCAATATCCTTTTTGTGATCTCGATGTGTGCTATCTTCTCGAAGAGCGTCCTCCAACTCACATGGTGGCCCCTGTTTCGCGATGTGTCATTTTATTCAATAATCCTCATCATCCTTATCGTGTTCTTCCGAGACAATGTTATCCACTGGTGGGAGGCACTAATTCTACTATCGTGCTATGCCTGCTACGTTACCTTCATGAAGTACAATTCCAACGTCGAGAGATTTGTCAAGAAGTTCACGAACCGAAACAAAGTTACGCGTGTGGGCAGCACGGATCAACTCATGCCTCAGGTAGGACCAAGATCTTAAGCCTTGCAGATGAGCATACGGCTCAGCGACGGTGCCGACCTGAGCACGACACGAATCATATTCTCCTCTGTATGCAGTCTTACATCCATCTCCTAACCGTTGAATCCTCAGATCGTATCTCGCCGAGAGACTTGTTAGTCAGGATATCGCCAGCATGCGTTCCGAATAGAGAGAGCGAGAAAGAAACGAACCGAGAGATTGATCGTTCTCCTTCCAGAAACATTTCAGAAAGTATTTGAAAAGTTTCTTCTCTTCCTCCACCATCTCCACAACCGACAGTGCCACCGAAAGTTGTTTCGAGACGGAAAAAATACTAATTACAAAAAACATTATTCCGCCATTTGACCGCTCCACCGCCAGAGAAGGGAGCCATGTTTTACCCGATTGCTGGCTCACTCGAGCCCAGTTAGTTGCACTTGTGTGATACATACGTTCTTATTTAGCCCACTATGAAACCCTCTACTTGCACATTCTGGAAAATTTCGAGCGCACATCCATTCACTCTGTCAGTGAGTCAGACGCAGAACCTCCCCTTTTTCCTATACCGACCTCAGTGTCTTGATGGAAATGACCTCAACGCTTCGTAAATGCTAAGCTTCCGTAAATCCTAAAAACCAATGGTCAGAGACACCTATAGATCCTGGTCTAACGATGTTGCAGCCGCCTGCTCACGGTTCAAGCCTGCGTCCTGCGATCGACCATTTTAGAAACTCTGCGTTCATCTACAACGTGTCAATCGATTCGGATGAGTCGATGTCGCAGACGTTATCAATCTAGTCTCGAATCGTCGTAACTCCAGAGTTCTTTCCCATGATATTCCGCTCGAGTTGGCCACCTAGCGAACGACGCCCCCCCCCCATCAATCAATTCGCCGCAGACTATTAGTCCCTTTGTCCTAATGATGTTCGGTAATAGCCATCGCGAGAGCAGTCGGAGCTCGAGCTCACGCTCCGTTTGCCGTGCGTAGCTCTATTCAAAAACATCCATAACTACCGATGTCCAGCTGTGGATGCCAAAAAAAAATTCAATGCCCAGCCGCCATCATTAAGCATCGCAGACACAAGGCGAGGTCAGATGGCGACCTTACCAAGCAACGATGTGTAGATTGATTTCTTACCGTTCATGACCTGTAGCCAACCATATATTCCCACCGTTCTGCATCCTCACTCATATCTTTCACATTCTGTCTCTCCTCTACCCCAACTTCTTCGCCTCTTGTTGTGTGACCTTGATGTACGAAGCTGTGCGACCGCTCTGAGCCTCAATTGTTGACCCGTCAGCAGCAATTTCCAACAGCATTGCTCGTGAAATTTCCAACAGACATCAAGGGGAATATATGTACCCACGAATGAACATATGTATGTATATATCAAAGCGTTCGGCTGCAATATGCATCACGAACATGCGTATGCATTCATGGCTATCTGGAGTCGTTTGCGATTCAATTCCTCGCCGTGATTCCTCGATGCCTGATATCGGATCGATTTCCATGGGCAGAAAAGAAAGACACACGCTCTATTACTGCTCTGAACTCGGAGTCTGGCCCCGAGTATGGTCGAGTCCGCAAAGGACGTAGGAAACGGCGTCAATAGAAACGGGGCCGTAGCCGAGAATGGCGCGGCGTACCATACGCTCGAGAGGATTCCAAGACTCGAAAAAACAAGCTTTGAAGGCACAAGAGCTTTGATGCTCCCCGTTGAGCGACGAGATTTATGGATGAAAGAATCACAATTCGCTAAATTCTGCTGCCCTTTTTCAGATAGTAAAACCCGTTGCAAACACAACAAAGGTTGGTTCTCAATAGAGACCCCTAGCGTTCACTGAACCTAAACCCACCCGTAGATCTTCCGAACGCAACCACTCCTAATCTTTGACTAACTGTCTACTCACTGGAGCCACACTCAGGCTTACGCTGTCGGGCGCAAAAAAACATCGAATCCTAATCGCTGTCTTAAACGCGTTTCGAAACCGTTTCCTTCGTCAAACAAACCGCTTGGTAACAATTTAATCTTCTTGGATTTTGATCGGAACGTTGCCAAGAAGCAACATGTTCCACTCGATCCTTTGTTGCTACCGAGAAAATGAAGCGTACCGCGCAGCGGACCGATCCAAAGCTTCAGATAACTGCGCACTTTGCCAACTCCTCATAAGAAAAAAAGTGAGACCAGATAATTATACGGATCATGATTGTCGTTCTAATTAAAAGGATGCCACTGACTCTCCCCGGTATGATGAAGAGAAAGCCGTCGAACGCAGCGTGCACACGTAGAACACCGAGGCTTAATGAATATCACACCGAACACCTCTCCACGTAGACATTGTCGGATTAGAACTTGTTCCCCCCGAGAACATACGATTGGAAATCTCTCTCTGCACGTGAGGCAGCGGCGGCAGCACCGAGATGCCGCGAACAAACCGTAGCGGGGCTGTCTTCCGACGGCAGAGAGACTAGCTCACTCAGCAAGATGTGTTCCGTCGTTAATTCTTCAAGTGCCAGTCACTGATAGACGTTCTGATTAATCCGGTTTTGTGTGTATCCATCCATGTCTTATCCATCAACCCTACTGTCTAGCCGACTACTATTTAGCCAACTTCTGCATAACACCATATCCAGCCAGCCAAGCGAAAATCCGACCGGTCGATGAAGGAGCCCACCGAGCAGCTGACCAATCCACCGAGCAAGATCAACCAAGCTAGTGAGCCAGTCAGTCAGCCGGCCGCCGCGCCGGGCGAGCAATCCCGCTGCACAATTCATTCGTGCAGATATCACACTGCAGAAACGGCAGCGGTGCGTGCGGCCAGTGTGATGTACGGCGACATACGCAGCGATAGGATCTCGCCGATCGGTCGGTCGGTCGGCCGACAGGCTGGAAGTGGCTGGCTGGATCGCGATAGTCGCCGCGGAGCCATAGATTCGGTCGTTTCATAGTTGCTGTCAATTATAGACAACCATTTGTTGATCCCGTTGTGCGGTTCACTGCAGGGGGAACAGAGAAAGCACTCCACGGCGACGGAGCTGCGCAACCTGCGTACTCTACAAGGGGTCGCACTCGGTGAAAACGCGGCTACGGCCGAGGCCTCGGTTGATGCCGAGCTGAAGGTCACCGAAGTTGATATAGAGGGAGGGAGACTATCACCGGTGAGTTTCAGCTACAGTAAAGCTACCAGCCCGCCGACCCACCAGCCTACCTTCCCAGCGAGCGAGCGAGCGAGCGAGCAAGCGATCGGCCGCTCAGCCTGTCCTTATCTTCGCTGTCGCCGTCGCCTTCATCGCTGCTGTTGGTATGGAATGGTGCGGTCCAGTGCGGTGTCATGTGGTGAGGTGTGGTGAGCGGGAGGAGGCACAACGATTGACTGCAGGCAAACAATCGATCGATCGACCCTCCGACCAACCCGTTGGTCGGTCGGTCGATTGAGCCGACGGCACGGCCTACATCAATCATTACGTTTGTTCCCTGCTTCGGCAAAGATAGAAGTCAAACACGTCGCAAACTTTGACGTGGACTCACATCGTACACGAAAGCAAGCTCCTAGCGAGTACGGGTAACCCCAGTCCCAATCACTAGGCGGGATCGTTTCGATGATCCTCCGCCGCGGCAACCACGGGGACGACCTCACACGCCGCGCAAGCACATCGAAGGCGAAGCACCCTCCGAAAGGGGTCAGAGGCCTCGACGAGCCGCTTGCTTGCCACGGGACGAAGAACATCGGTTTTTGAAATCGTCGTCCGTCTCCGGAGATCGTGATACCGTGCGTCCTCGCTCCGACGACGAATTCCGACGAATCACAGCCCGCTCGAAATTCCACGAACTGTTACAGCAAACAACAACTAGACTCATTAGCCAATGGAACGATCCTCGACGACTGGCCGACTGTTTAGTTCCAGTATCATGTGACTGAGAAGCGACCTATGTTGCGCACAGCTTCCACAGATAGTCGTCGTTGAAATGTTATTAAGCTTAAGTTCTCGGGGTGATTCTGATGGAAAGGGCTCCTGATCGGGTCCGACGGGTCGATCGACGGACGGACCGACCGACCAGCCGTCGGTCGTCGGTTTCCCCCGCCTGAGCGAATTTCTGTCTATGCCTGCTTTGATTGATGCCATCGCTATTGTGAGTGCTGAAACGGCTTGTGCAAGTACAATCTGTACCGGGTTGTAGTTGTTTGATCGTCTATTCGACTGAGTGTATCTGTTCTTTTTTCCCCGCGTCGCATCTCTTATTCCCCGCTGCTACGTTGTAGCCTGACGTTGGCTTGTCGTCCTCGTTGAGCTCTTCCGTACGTCCCTGAGGTCCTCCCCGCTTACCCATTCGCAAGTTCTTCCCTCTGTAGGTTCGCATAGGATCTCTATGGGTAGTTAGACCGGTTATCACGACGACTCCGGCGAAACAGCCGTCTGCGTCGCTGCGACTACGATGACACGCCGCGGGGACCCGTCAAGCTCCCCGAGTTCTCCGTCTACTCAGAATTTTGAGCCCATTTCCAATTTCTGCCCCCCGTACACAATGCCGAAACGCATCCCGAATCCGCTGGGTGCCGACGGCCTTCAACTCCGACGACAATCCCCGCCCTGGCATTATTCCTCCTCTCTAGGAATAAGCAAGGCTTTGTTTCCTGCTCCTGGACCTCTCACTAGCTCTGCTCCTCTTAAACCCTCGGACCTATGGTCCAATCCGACCAAACTCTCTTGCCGCTTGCGACTCTGGAAAATCGTTTTAAATCTCCTTGATAACCTCATACCCAAACACTCGACAGTGCTAGGCCTCAGAGCTTAGCCGCCGCTATTCCTGCGCCCCTCCGTTGGCCCCGAGGAACTTCATGAGTTCCGAGCAAGGATAGGCCGAGAACAGTTTCCAGGTTTCCGGCTCCGCCGGTGCCCGTAAAAATCCCTCGCAGCCCGCAACTCTTCTTTCGAATTGTAGATTCCAGTCGAAACTCTTGTGTAGATGAGTTTTGAATTCGGAGCAATCATTGACATTCATTCTTTCATCGTAGCTCTGGAGTTGCTTGAGCTTCCAACCTCGAATGTGCCGAAAGGCCGATGGTCACTGTGAGCGTCTCGGGTGAATGTTTGAACTTCCATCTTCTTCTCATCCACGACTGGTGAATCGCAGAATGAATGTCGCTCATCCGAAGTCCCTTCCATTCCCACAAAGCCGTGAGCCATCTCCGAATGGATCAAATGGAAATTGCTCCGAGCGGTATCCTCGCTCCCTAAGAAATGACGGGAAAGCTGCTTCCTTCCCATAAACGTCCGTCCTTCCCCGTATGCAAGAAAAGCGTTGCGATTCACTCCTCTGTCCGAGTTTTTTCCGTTTCATTTCGACCGTCCATTTTCGCTGCCGCTATTATTATTCCGAATATTCTTGCTATTGTCATTGATGTTGTTGTTGTTGTTATTGCTGTTGCTACTGTGAGGTTCGTGGTATAACCCAACCGCCAACATTCGACTGTCCTCCCGCTGTGCCTCCACCACCACTACACCCACCATCATGTCCATCTACCCATTTCTCTATATTCACCACCACACTTTCTACTTCTCATTACTACTACTATTATTAGTCTTATTACTATTATTCTTGCTAGATTATGAGATACGAAAATATTTTCTCTCACTCAAGGACGTCCATGAACGTTCACTCAAAATCATTTCTTCACATAGAAGAGAATCGTTCTGAAAAATCCGATAGCATTTCTCTATTCAGTTCAGAGCCTGAATACCTATCTACCTACATATATGAACTCAACTCAATTTCCATCGGAAACTCTCATTGATGACTCCGGATAACTCCTCTTGGATACCGAGAAATCCTCTATCCCGCTCAGTATTCTTCAGAGCAATATTCCCGAAATCGAGAATTGCCCTCGCTGCCTTCGTAAATCGCGAATATCAGAGACCACTGTTCCCCTGAGACTCAGAATAGATAGTTCGTCATCGTCGCCCGAGGAAGGATGAACCCCCGAGAGATATAGTTTTTGGGGCCCAATGAACGTTCCCAAAGAGATTCCGGCAGCGTGTCGGTGGGATCCCCAGGCGATCCACAGGATCACATCCACTTTTCAAGTGGGGGTAAAGGAGCTCGTTCTGTGCTGTTCGCCGCCGATCATAAACTCGTTGAGCACGTCATATCTCCATGATAGTAGGTTTGAGCGTGTATGAATGTGGGTGAATGAGATCCTAGAGGGAGGGTTGGAAGAGAAACTCTCCAAGAGGTTGTCCGCCGGCGGCACCATTGTTGTCGTTGCCGCCGCCGCCACCGCCGTAGAATCGACGGCGGTAGCGACCGCTGTGCGGGATGTAGCAATGCCTGCCGGCGAACGACATTAAATGACCGAGCAAACAAACCGAGCCACATAAAATTGTACGTCGCACCAAAGTTGCAAGCCACTCACACGCTAATACTGCTGACGCTGCTGTTCCGCTGCCAATTGTTCCGTAGAGCGTAGTGGGGACAATTTAGCAAATCGAGGTGACAGAGTAAAGCGCGCGCGCAATGACTTGATACTACAGGCGAACTCCGTCCGGGTGTCGTTAATGATCGCGCCGTTCAATTACCTACGACTGCGACCGCGCCTACGAGTACTCCAATAGATCAGACAATTTCAAGCTGAGCGACGAACTCAAGAAACGAACAAACAAGTCGGATTCGCTTGTTTGTATCGCTCCTAATTCGTTCGACTGCTCTCATCAACAAGATAAGCACCGACTCCGAACCAGTTCGTCAGCATGATCAGCATCGTGTCGTGTCGTTGCTGCTGTTATTGTTGTCGTCGTTCTTGTTTTCGATGTCGTCTTCATAACTCCTGTTGCTATTGTTCATGTTGCTGTTGTTGTTGGTGTTGTTGTGCTTCTCGCCATTCCGGCTGCTGTACATTATCGTCGCAGCTCCAATGCGAGGAGGACCTAGGGCCTCGGACATCACCTCGCAAATTTTCGACGGAAGTTTCGACTTTTTCTCGCCGGATCAGAAACACACAAGCCTCGTAGAGTGAGCTCATATCACTTTTTTCCGAGCGAGTTGTTGCCTCCGGAGGGAACTTGCTTGGAACGACTCGGCGGAGAAAACGTTTGTGGATCCGTTGGATGAAGTCGAAGGATTCATTTATTTTTTTCACTGTCGTGTCGCGATCCAATGAGGCTTCTCCAATCAGTATCGGTCGCTTGCAGCCGAGTTGCTTGCTCCCCGACAAATCAGTCAGCAAGCAAATAGCACCATTCCGTCTCGTGCCGAGCCTCGTCGTCTTCATTCGGCTCGTTCCGGCTCGGCCTTCGGCTCGTTACGCCTCGGCCGTAAACGGTTTGAATCATCCGCGAGCTATTCGGCGGAAAGTGATTCTTCGCGAAAGCTATTCGGCGTGAATAATTCGCGGCCACTCGGAAACAATATTACCCTTATCAGGCTTTATTAGCTCCTCAGCCTCTGCCATCGCTGGCTCGATCCAACGGTGAGCGGAGCGTGGGAAGCTCGAGCTCTCGCTGTTGATTACTTACGCAGGTCTTCGAGAACCGGAGAACTCAATACTCGGAGAGCTCTCACTGATATCACCAATGCGCCTGAACTGGAACACAGTATGTTGAAAGCGTTGCCATCAGCAACCAGACTGAAGCAATGAAACACGCCAATGCTACCAACGGTTGAAGCACAGAACGACGTTTTGCGGCCGATCCCGGCAAGGTCCAACCGAGTGAGCGCTTGCGTTCTTCCCGGATCAGGAATCATTTTTTCCTCATCGAGAAAGCCTCCCGGCAGATCTACAGAAAGAGGGATGAGAGGGAGTTCCCGTTTGTAGAGGAGCAGCCTTGGGGAGACCGATGCCATAACAACGAGCCGAACGTCCCCGACCCAGGCATCCCGGGCCCTGAGCCGGCTGTCACTCATACTGTGCAATGATGCGCGGAAAGAAATCTCACGAAGCCCATGCTGCGGAAACCTTTGCTCAAGAACCGTATGAACTTCAAATATCCCAGAGCCGGATGCGACCTCTCGGGGGAAAATTCTTCCTGCCTCCGCGAAAGTCGGCTGCGAAAGTTGGTCATCGTAGCCAGATTTCGGCGTTTCCGTCAGAACGCGGAATCCCGTAAGCGCTTGCGAGCAGGTGTTGTCGGCGGGAATAGCACTTGTAGAGGAGCCGAAGCGGTCCTTGCTCTGAATACCCACCATTCCGGACCATATAGTACGTCTTCGAGTGCGGCAGAACCGCCAAAAGTACCTATGGACGGTGGACACAATTTGTCATAGACCTCCTTTGCGGTCAGGCAGACGACGCGGGCAGCTGTAGCAGCAGTTCTATAACCGCCGCGGTGATTACCGGCGAGCAGCTGCCCTGGCAGCAGCAACAAACAACCTGTTCCCCATGCCAGGGATGAAGCATTGCTATAAATTCCAGAGCGGCGAGCACAACTGTTGAATTATAAACGAACGCGGTCCGACATCCCTGCATCGGGGAATCGACGCATCGGAGCAACGGACAGCGCGCGTTTTTGACATGAACGTGCAGAATGCTCTTTCCCCGCTCGGTCCAGATTCATGGACGCCACCGCCCCCGACAGTACGGTCCATAGATCACCATGCAATAATTCCTCTCGGCACCCTTTCTATCCTCCTCCGGTCTCTGCTCTCCCTATCAGGAATGAACACGTGAATGCGAATCGAAGAATTTTGACGTCTCATGGTACGGAAAGCGAAATGTCGGCTCCCTCCAGGATTCAAACCCCTGTCCCACCCTCTTCCATCCTCGTCCGGGATTTGCGAAAGCAGCAGAAAAAAAATTATTCAGATGAAGCTCCCTCAGATCTTGGCCGAAAGGCGAACGAGTTTTCGTCGAAATTGAGTTGAGTCGCTCCAGTCATACTTGTAGATCCAGGTTCTTTCCATCACCGAGCCTTATCGGGCCGAATCCAATGATTGCAGAACGCACGAAGACGACGAATGAGTGTGCCGACGATTCACGGCGGCGGTGGGAAATTCCGACACGGACTCCTGCAGCTACTCATCCACTCCATCGATCCCCTTCACGAACACGAAGGCAAGACTCTTTCCTTGTTCATTTAGTTCTCGCCTCCGGCTCGACTTCAGTTTTCCGCCGTGATTCATTCGTCAATGGAATCAGTCCATCGGAGGAGCGGATCGCGTCGAAGGGCGTCATCACGCTCCTCTGATAGCTGTTTCTGTTGGCGCGTATTGTGCGTAGAAGAAACTGACGTCAGCTTCGGGATGGAGTTGATGACGACCAAGACTTCCGATGCGATGGAAATAACACCGATCGCGGAAATGTCCATGAAGAAGATCGGGAATTCTAAAATTTCGAGTTTTTCAGGCAAAGTTGACGAGAAGGCGTCCCAACTTCACACGATCGCTTCGCTAGGGGTGTTGCTCGATGCAACGGGCCCAGGTAGTTCTGGATCACCCACCCCGCTGAATGGCAGTGCAGGAGGCGTTCGCAGCTCCGCTCACAGAGATTCCGGTAGAAGAAGGGAGAGAGATGTCGATTTCCAAGTGAGTTCAATGATGAATGCGGCCCGAGGTCAGTCTGCCGCGGCGCGCCGCTGCAAGCCGGGTCGATCGATCAGACCGAGCTGTCTCCGTCAGCCGTCACCGCCGCCCTTCCCCGCTCCCTAAGAGACCAATTACACCAGCCTCAGCAGTATAGACCGCTGATGAGCCGGACCGTCGATTCACCCGGCCGAAGATTATAAAGATTCTCTTCCGATGGATCAAACTATTTTTTCCTTCAATATATAAGTCGCGAATTCAGAGCCCGCAGCTATGGCGGATACGCAGCCGACGCATGACGAGGGTATCGGTGTCACATGAATTTTTCCCCACAGCTGGGATCCGGGGGCGAAGAGAAAGCGATGCCACCCGTAGAAGAGTCGTTGGAGACGTCCAGCTCGGTCAATGAAACTCATCCGGATTCTGGCTATAACAGCGCTGCACAGCAAGCCGCCCAGGCGGTGAGTTTTTTGCAAGACATCGATTGAGAAGTTTTCCGCCTCGTGTATAACGCTCCCAAACTCCAAGCCGGAGCCGGCAGACACCGATGCTCGCAAGACGTTCTTCCGCTGTGGAGCATCGCTTCAAAATCTTGGGCGGGCGTGAATGGCAGGGCTCTCGACCGTCAACAAGCTCTGTGTACATTTGACGGGACCCTTCAAGTTCGTGTCTGCGAGAAAGCAGAGCCAGCAGCAGGATCTGGTGATGCGTTCATGTTTTATTCATTCCCGCTCCTTGTGCCGTGACTGGCCGGCGTTCGCTCTCTGAGGATCAGGGGTTGTTTAATACCATGGGACAGGGTATTTACGCAACTTCGAATTGAAGAAAGTGACCTCGCGCAGAGAGAGACATTCTTTATTGACATTCTTGACTCACGGACACCGAGAGAGAGAAAACGTGGGACCTCTCGGGAGGGCTCCGTCGAGGGGGGAGGCGAGGAAAGGAAAGAATAGTCGATTCGCTTAGAATTTCCCGGCCAGTCCAAAGCTCGCCCCATCTGACTGACAGGAGTGGGAAACACGTCATCGTATCCTGGGTCGAGCTTGGGTACCACGAGCTATGCACGGAACAATGGCGAGGAAGTACGAGATACTGGCTCGCTCGCATATGCCCACGACACGAGAGGCATGAACAATTCACGCTCCGCTGAGTCGGTCACGGGAAACGAATCGCTTAGGAGCCGAGATTCTATCCGACAGTGGCCCGAGTGGATCGAATCTCGAATTATCCGAACTCACTAACATCGAGTTGATTTTCCAGACTCGCGAAGATACGATCGAAGAGGCGATGGAAGAAGCGGCCGAGCCTCTGAGCGTTGCGTGGCCAGATACGTGGCGAGAGCGCCTGAACTACGTGGCGCTCGCACCGATTATATTTCCGTTGTGGTTGACGCTACCTGATGTGCGACGTGCCGAAAAACGAAAATATGTCGCAGGTTCTTTTCTTGGTAAGTTACCAGAGCTCCGCTATTTCTCTCCCACTTCGAATGACACTGTTCCGGGGCACTCTCCACGGAACGTTCTCGCTCTCCTACTTGGCTGTAGCTCGTGCAGCATGCGGGACACCGTGGACCTCCGGTACGTAGGTAGGTGTTTCGCTTTGCATACGAGACACCGAGGCGCGTTACCTGGGTCAGAATACGGGAACCATGAAGGCTGCGCGCACAGACCTAAAGAGAATGTTCTGTCGTGACGTTCGTCACTCCAACGAAGTAATTATCGAACGCGGAACTCTAGTACAGCGAATACATCTGTGACGTATCAGGCCAGGTGCTTCAGGAACTCGGCCAATTCGTGACTTCGCGGGCGCCTCGATGAGAGCAGTGGTCGACTGGCTGATGATTTCTTCCGGAAATTTCCGTGACGTCCATCGACGCTCGAGCTTGTTTTTTTCGATTTCGCTGAAGGTCGCTGGTCGAATGGAAAAACGAAGCTCAACGACTCCGACGAAGAAGCGGTCGCGGACCGGAGTACGCAGCAAGTTTGCGCAGAAGCGACGGAGTCTGCGTGCAGCAAAGCGATGGACCTTGACCTAGGCCGCCTCGAAATAAAACAACAGCACAGTCTACTCGCCAGGTAGACCCGCGCGCCATCCGCCGCGATTGAAGCCGTCGTCGTGACACATCCACACCCGGGGCAAATCGAATCCCTGCCTGCTCTCGGTGTCTCCGCAGCCGACTCTCATTGGACCTATAACACGCCGAAGGAAGGGCGGTTCCTCGCTTGCAATCGACCCGACTAGCCACGAACGCTCCACCGTGCCAGCAATAATTTCCTCGACAAGCTGTACACGTAGCCGGACTTCTGTCGCCACGCTCGGCGACCGAGTGCAGGAATCGTCCGGGGAACATTCAGTCAGTCAGTCAGTCATTCAGATAGAAGAGCCGCCTTAGGAAGAAATATTGTGACTGCTACCGAAAAACGCGACGACTCTACCCGAGTCAGTGTTCGCGAGCTCGGAAACGCAGAGAGACGATAAAACTTCGAAACGCATAGGTCATTCTGTAATGAGGTCATTCATGGGCGAAACTACCTCGCTCAGCGCGATCGACGTTTTTTGCATGAATTCATGACGCCTCTTCCGCAGGGGATCGTTCTGGACCTAACAGTCGTGGCCTGATCTTTTTTCTGTTCTTCGAAAGTCTCGGAGTCGGGGAGGGGAGTCGAAAATTTTGAGCCTCTATTCAGCCGACAGCTCCATCGATACCGACGCCCGGATCTCGAAGATGCGGTGTTGAGTATAGCGCGGCAGCTCGGGTGACTCCCCCCATCCTCCGGTTCCCCGAATCTATGTCGAAGCCTCAGGCGTCCGCAAGAGGAGAGGGGATGAGGAAACTACCTCTCATCCCCGGTTATACCGCTCGGAACGCTCGTATTGAGCCTGAAGAGCGAAATATATCTCCGAATGCACAGAAAACCACAAAGTTTAGTTTAAGACCACTGATGAAGTTTTGCTGACGATTCGGAGCCCGGGTCTACGGAGGAAAGACTCATGTTACATTTGCTAGAGTCACTATGGTTCTGGGGGGAATCGCCTCCACGGACCTCGGAGGCGTGCCTTGAGTATGAATTCTGTACTTCCTCTTCTCGGGGGAGTGGAGGTTATCATGACGTTACGAAAATCGCATGTCATTTCCGGGAAAGTAGCCCGAGCCATTGGTGCAGGAATTTCCCCCAGACTTCCAGAAGGCTTCTCATCTGAACGGATCCTGCAGTGCGTGGGAAGGGAAACGGAAACGACAGTTGCGTGCTGCCATGGAATGGAACGTTTCGCGACGTTGCACGGCTCAAATACTTTCTTTCGAGATCGATGTGCGCTCAGAGAAATCCACAAACCTTGCTCGATGGGTCCAAACGCAAGACCATATATTCAGTGTATAATTCCCCCGAAATTCCGCCGCATCTGTCGATTCCTTCGAGGGATTTGCTGCGGAACCATCCAACGGAATCTCCGTGCTCCGCATGCCTTCGAGCGGTTCCACAGAGCTGAGCCAATTCGTGTGTATTGAGCTCCGGCCCGGACCATCGAGCCGGGATCTATCGAAGAATAATCAGGCAAACGGATCGGAACCTTAATCAAGGAATTGGAACTTCCGAAATCAATTTACTCTCTCATTCCGCCAAGATGAGCCACTGATCAGGTCCAGGCCTCCGGATGAACGACGGCCGAGGAAACCGAGAACAGAGATGGCGGAGGGGCTCCTCACGCAACAACTCAGTATTATTCCCTTTCTCTTCCAGGGTCGATTACATGGATTGCAATATTTTCCTATCTCATGGTGTGGTGGGCAACCGTGGTCGGAGACACCTTCGGCATTCCTTCAGAGGTGCGCTTCGGCTAAGTATTCGCAGCATGGGAACCCGATATCTTCTCTAATCGACTTCTGACGTTGATCGTCCAATATCGACTTGTCTCACCTTCAGGTTATGGGGCTGACGTTCCTTGCCGCCGGCACGAGTATTCCCGATCTCATAACATCGGTTCTCGTCGCCCGCAAAGGTTTTGGTGACATGGCAGTATCCAGCTCTGTCGGTTCTAACATCTTCGATGTCGCTGTCGGGTACGTATCTTATTTACGTGGAGGAGGTTTGGTCGAATTTCCCCGCATCGCTCCGCTCGTCTGGATATTTTCTCTCGGGTAGACAGTGAAGCCAACTTCGGCTACCGTGTGGGGAGTGCATTGATGTTTGTTGGGTGCCTCGAAAAATCGAGCGGCTCGTCTCGAGTCTCGCAGAGAAATCCGAAACCCAAAGGGCGAAAAATTCCATATCGGGCTCTCCTTTCCAGATTACCTCTTCCATGGTTCTTGTCGTGCCTGGTTTTCGGATCAGTTCACGTGAGCAGTTCGGGCATGGCCTGCTCCATCTTCATCCTTTTCATGATGTTAATCTTCGTCATTGTGACAATCGCCTTGTTCAACTGGCGGATGAACTTCGGCCTGGCCCTCGTTATGTTTGTTCTGTACTTTGTTTTCATCGCGTGTTCACTTTTGCTTGAGTACGAAGTGGTGCGTTGTCAAGACATCGTGAGCGCGGTGACGGGAAGAAAGACTTGAGACCAGTTAATGCAACAAACAACATGTCAACAAAATGAGTGAAAGTATATTCTGATACCAAAAAAATCGAAAACCGGCTTTGAGAACAGTAATCAAGCGTAATTATGCAGAGAAATCGTTACACAAGACACTTACGTAGGGAGAACAGTTCGCCTGAATTGAACTTAAGCTTACCCAGCGACAAACTGTGTCATTGCGTTAGACAGGCTTGAAGGGAAACGGTGGTAGACACACTTTGTTTTTGTTGAACTTGCATCCACGCGTCGACTAGAGCTACAAACAAGAACCGAAGAGAGCGTTTCTCTCGATCCAGATAGTAGTAAGCAGATCGGAAAACTTATCATAAGCTAAGAGAATTGATACATGCTCACGCCACAACAAGCGCCTTAGAGCTAGCAGTACTACTGAGGGAACTCATAACAGGAACGTTTGTTAGATCGAAAGGAAAGTCAGTCAGATACCCAACCTCATCCTACTACTCACAACAAGAACGACGACAAGAGCAACAACAACAATGACAACAACACCAAGGAAGAAAACCGTAGCGGAAAACGACGGAAAGTCCGTAGGAGTCCCACCTGAGGGTGATGATCATGATATTCTCGTTTGACACCATCGAGGTGAGCGACGTCAAAAACGAAAAAATTGAACGAAGCAAACAACGAGCCCCTGACAGAAGATCATGAAGCGAAAGCCTCGCCGTCGTTGTTGGTTATCAAATCGTGGTGATTCATGAGCTGAGATTGGAAACGGCGCCGCCTGCGCCCACTTTTGTATCAGATCGCGAACCACTTGCACAGGCAGATCAAGCTGGTGACTAGTGTTTCCGGATGTCTCGGTTTTCCACTATTCACCGACGACTTCAGTAGCGAAGAAAGCAACTACCGGAAAACTGGACCCGTTCAATTCAACAAATTTCTCCGGTACACGTACAGCTTCCCCGAAGCTGGAGGTAACGAATGGATCTCCGGGCGACCTTCCACCGCCACCTCTCATCAAAGTGCGGGATCGACGGTTCCTATTGCGAAGAAGAACAGGAATAGCATCGCGGACATATTCAATAAATCAGTCAACTGCGGAAGCATCAGAGCCCATCGAATCCACCGGATTCCGGATGGACGATGGGAATCAAGTGAGAGAAGTTCTAGAACAGGGGAGGAATAAGCTGACAGGACAGCGAACGAGTAATGTCATGAATTCAATACGTGTCCGGCTTATCTTACCGTTCTCGCCATTACATCGGGGCACACAGGCATACTACGTCCATGCGTCTGGGGGAAAGCCTGTTGTCATTTTTTTTTCTACGACGCGGAAGAGTACAAACAAGATAACAACAAAACGAAGCCTTTCCAAGGATGGTCGAATACCCAGGAAACCCTCCCCCATAAACCCGTACTCCGGTAGTAATCCGTGAAGTCACTTCGACAGAGCATCAACCAACTCTCAGATCAACAGATCACATACCTCGGTTCCCCCCTCTGTCTCCTCCTTGAGGCCACGAGATCTTCCCCATTTCTTTGAAGTCACCAAGCGGCATTTGAGAGCAGCTCGATCTATCGATTCGTCGAATTATCCGTTAGGTACGTCGTCACCATTGAATTCGTCGAAACGACGGGGAATCGTCTTTCTGAGCGCAAGCTCAGAGGAAGAAGATACGACGGCGATGGTCCCGCAGCGGCGTCCTCCTGTGAGCTCCGAGGCACAGGACGCCGAGAGTTAGGATTCGATCCCTCCGCATTCTCGACCCGCATTCGCACGCAACACTCTCATAGATCAAGGGTGCCTTCTGAGTCGCTCGAAAGAAATCGGAATGGAAAACCATTATCCCCTTCCACCAGCCGTTAGGCATAAGAGCCAATCGCACTGCTGCTGTCGTGAAGAGAATGAAAAAAAATCCGGGGGGGCGCCCATCCAGAACACTGAACACACGACTTTACATGACACTGACTTTGTTGACCGATCCCTAATTATCCGGAGTGGATGCTACCTCCGTACCCAAGCTACCCATCACCAGTCACGGACGGATCGAGTCCGTCGGCATCCGTTCGGGACACCTTCGCATGGAACCTCGGATCCCAAACTCTCTCAGCACCGGAACAGGATTGACTTTGAGTGATTGATGCACGGGAAGTTTGATCCCATCGATACCCAAAAGAAACGATGTAACCATTGGTGTGTGTATTGTATGGTCACAAGTCACTAGCGAAAACTATAGCACCGACCGACGATTTTCTATGAGAGAAGTACCTATACCTTCGATTCGGTGATTGTCTTTTCTGTCTTTATCTTCTCCATCTTCTGGAGCTTTGTGAGATCGACGGGAGGACGTATAAATCACCATCGCGTGTCGTTCCGTAGTGCTGGACAGATGACAGACAAACTGCTTATTCGGACCGCGAGGCCGACGCTGCGCTGGCAATGACCGACGCGACGCTGGTGGGCAATGATCACAGTGATGAATATTTCGGGGCGGTTTACTCGCACCGGATATGAGATACTCTTCTCAACATATCGTCCCAAGCCGAGCGAAGTCACAATTCTTTCCTCTGGAATGTCACGAGTTATTCACGAGTATCGCAATCGAAATTAGTAGCGCATCGATATTCTCCAAAGAATGCCTGTTGATCACCCGGAATCTTTCGACCCATCCCGAGCAGTTGATTCAGCCTCTGCGACATTCGACATGAGAAAGCTTTTGTCCGAGCATTTTCCCATTAGTTCCCGGCATGTGCTGCTCTACGCACTTAATTTGCCCTCGTTTCCACAACATCGGCGGAGTTCGCCATTGTTACGAGCATAATCATCAATCAGTGTGATTTTGTACGTCGACCACACAAGATCATGAATGTTTGCCGACCCCTAATGGTCAGCGACCAGCTGGAACTTTTTTTCGTGTACCGCTGCGGCGAACGACATCAATAGGCGACGAGATTACGGTTAAAGTGTCTGTCGAGTGTCACCTGTCCACCATGGCGGCGACTCGTCTCATTCATATTTGAAACCGTGGCATAGGGCGTCGACTTTTCCTCTGCCGGAACCCTTCGCTGAGTGCGTTCGGGTGCTCTATTGGCTCCCGTTCAGGCCTCGAGGGGGTTCGGATCTTCATTCAATGGAGCGAGTTTCATTTCGAGGAACTCATTCATCAACGACCTAATGAAATCAAGCACCAAGAGAAACTATAGGACGAAGCTTCCTGACGCTATGATTAGCTAATGATACCGAATTTCGGAGGAAATCTCATAGCTATGCCACGGCTTAGGTAGCGCTCGCACTCGGCGAAACTTACCTCACAGAACCTGTCTGGAAGAATTTCTCAACCCGAACGGATTCCCGAATAGCGGAGCCAACAAGAGCCGACCAATACTATGGCATTAACTTTCATCATCGATTTCGTTATTAGTTTACGTGACGTGATTTTTAAAGAGAGCCCATGGATTCCTGGCAGGTTTCGAGACGAACAGCTACGTAAGGCCTCATCCCATCACTCCCAACCATCTGCGATGTCGCAATCGATCATTCGAGCAACAACGACGATTTGTCACCGCGTACTTGATGAATACGGTATTCCCGTCCGTTTGGTCCGAAGCAAAGGCACGGAAAATCGAGAATCAGGAAATCGGGCCGGCACTGCGCAGTCCGACGCTGACGCCCCCGAGGCAGTAAGCCTCAAATCATGAAATCGTCTCCTGCCAGGAAACAAAGGAGTCTCTGACAGAACTTCATTCAGATGACTTCATCTGGTTCTGATGCGTTTTCATGCATTCATCGCTCCATGATTCTTCTCGTTCCTCATTGAGACATTTTCCTTCACCTTTCCAACCTGTACTCCAGGTACTTACCCCATGTTACTGAAACAATCATCACTAATCATTATAGCAACATCAGCGGTGGCGGTATTTCGAGTTGCAATACCTGCAGTCGCCGCAATTTCATCTTGTCGTCGTGATAATGCCTGAGCTCACGTCTTGCTGCCTAAAACCCTCACCCCGAACACATTTTCCTAATGAGTCAACTCATCCTGAGGACCGTTTTTGAACGTACGACCGACTTTGTTGACAGCGGGGAGAGAGAGCGAAAGGAATAATCGGGAGACTCCATATTTATATGCGAGATGGTGATATGATATTATTCTGCTGTATAAAGAGAAGAGGTGGAGTGGAGGATCGAGTGCAAATATTATAGATGATGAAGCACATGCTTGGCATCTACTATCGTTTTGTGTTCGCCGAATCGTTCGCTAAGGCATCCGTCGGATTCCTTTGCTCCTCGTAGTCGAACAGAGACGAAACGTGCAAGAAATCATCCGCCAATGACCCCTCGTGTACGTTCGCAACGGGGGAAATCCCCATTCCGCTTCGTCCGTGTTCATCACGATCTGAAAATTTTGCTTGGGTTCCCACAGCCGATTTCTCACATTCCTTGTTAGCGGTATAAGGCTCCTCGTCGTCAACGCCCTACGCCTTGGAAACTTTCTGACTGTGAACGAAAAGGCTAATTCTATGTACGCAAGTACTGATGGAAGGTGGCTGAGGGCATCTTTTGGATTCGATCGGCTGTTGCGCACCCACACTTTGACGCATCATTGTTGAAGTCATCATATCCAGATAGTTTTTCCGTGCTCGCCGGGAAAATCGGTGAGCGAGCTCCGATTGATCGATAGTGAATCACTCCTTCGAGGGCCTGTACAGCGACCCTACCTCTTCATGTCGGGATTCTCACGTTATGATGACAATGATGATGATGACGACGACGACGATAAATATGTACTTTGACTCTCTCAAGGTCAAGCAACTATCGAAGATCAAGAGGCCGAAGGCTGTTCTCTGATGACAAGTGCCTATTACTAACATGGATAGGGTTGCCTCTGCGACGATATCAAGCTGGCTGTATTGTTATACAACGGTCTAGCAGCATCTGCTCCTTATACGCATACACATTCAGTACTGATTCAACTACTACTATCACAACTTCGCTGCTACTACCTAAACCATCCGCGCAGA